CCATGATAGTTTAAACATTTTTACATTATTCAACTGCTTTGGTGTTATGTTCGTGCAAGTATAAAATATGATAGCACAAGCACAGAAGTTACGAGTTACAGATGTTGTACATTTCCTAAAAATGGCTATTTGATCAAAAACATAGAAGTACTTTAAATTTGGTTTATAAACTAAATTTCAAGCATTCTTCATAACTTTAAGAGATTTGAATAAAGGTATTTATTCGTTTTAACTTTAAAAGAATTAAATAAAGATGTGCATGTTCAGACATGTTTGAAGTAAAAGTATGTCAGAGCACAATTAGAGCTACCTTTGTAATTGCCAACATAAAAAAAAGCATTAGGATGGTGGACAGATGAGCTCTGGTCGTTGAGAGGCTGTCAGTACAAGTTTTTTAGCATGCCTAGGAATATCTTCTATAAGTTTATATTGTGCTATAGTTTCATCAAGCAATGCAAGCAGCATCACATCCTGCTAAAATATCAACAATAAATTTCTAATAGACTTAAAAAACCTAAATTATAGTATAGTAGGGGGAACATTAAAGGTACTTTAAAATCATTTGATATAAGAAACAGTTGCAGCTAGCGGTAGATAATTTAACAATTGATTGAGTATTCAGTACTCATTCTATGAGAAGAATTTAAAGCCTGAAAGGTGTGAGTGCTATGTGCATCTTATATCCACTTCTGGATCAAGTTATTAAAGTCAAAGGTTTAGTTCAATTTGATAAAGTGGAAGATTGAGCCTATTCATAAAACAACAAAGGCAGATAAATTTTGTGAGTGTGCCAATCGATTAATTAAGTGTAAACTGTCTAACCAGATAATAAGGGTTTGCTAGGAATCTCCTTGACTATATCTAACAAGATTCTGACCATTTCACATTTTCAGATTGAAGTTGTGTTATCCATTTGATACTGATTTTTATTTACTGCATTTAAAACAACACTGCCCTTTTTAAATATGTACCTGAATTCACTGACTGTGCTAAGAATATTTTGGAGAGCATCCTTTTTATTCCTACAAAATATGATTCATATTAGAAGAGTGTTTGAAAACTAATCTCATTATCTTTAATCAAGTTTTCAAAATAAGAATTAGAGCATATATTCTCTATAGGTTTGATTTAGCGAAAAGATATTTTCTCACTAAATTAATGGTAAATAAATTGATTGCAACGATTACTACATACAATATAATTATTAGATTCCAAGAATCAAATGGAGTAAAATAGATTTCTTCTTTAAATTAGAGAAAATTAGATTTCATACTATTTGAATCTCAAATATACTAAAAACTTAAATATTTATTCAATCTCCACTCTTTAAACTTATTTCATCGTCCGCTTCTTCTAAAAGGTCTCTAAATGTATAAATATCTATTTCAAAATCTATTACTCATATCTATAGAGATTAATATCTGCTTCAGAGCCCATTGTTTTTATCTAGACTTTGGAGGAGCAGATGAGTAAATGTGCATGTACCAATACATTTTATTTTGATCTCTTCTATTTTCAGACTGGATTCTTTACAATACATTTATTTCCTTGTTTCCTACTAAAAATATTAACATCTAGGTAACTCAGAAGGCGCCCTCATCAAATCTTATTCGAGTAGGACTATCATAAAAAATGCTCATCTTAAATTATCCTATGTAATTTTATAGTTATATGGTGTACTTTGCCTTGCCAACCATGTTATGATTGCGCGCA